CTTATGACATTGATAGATATGCCAAATGTGATATTCAGCAGAAGAATAAAGCTTTCTTTCCAACACATATTGAAGTCTGCAATCGAAACCAACAATTCTGTGAATCAAAAGTTAAAATGACATGCCCAGAAAAAAAGAATTGTAACCTGGAAACCAACAACAGCACCTCCAACAATGGGAACTTTGTAAGCAAATGGAAGATCCAGAATAGTGGTTTCATAATCCACCAGTAACAAAGGACATAGTTGCATAGCATGTAATGACTGCTGACACACGGTGAGAAGAGAATGATATTTGTCTACAAATAGAATAAACAAATGATAGTTCCAAGAATTTACAGATTTCATGTCTTAAAAATTTCAGAATATCGCAACAAACAAAATGAAATTACCGAAGCTTACCCACACCATCAACTCTGAACAGCTATAAACCACTTATGATATCCAGCAAAGTGCCTGTTAATTTCTCTCTTCCATAGAAAAATTGTGTCCAACAACGAAGCACATGCTCCAACAGCTGGTATAAGATGCAGGAAAAGCTTCTGCAAAAGGGCCATCTGTTCACTCATTGCATCAGCATCAGCAGATGGAGATATTTTCTCATGTAAATATTTAAGATGCAAATATGTCGCAATTATAAGCTTGAATAACCTATAATAAAGGTGGGAAATTTCTCTAGGAGTCAGATTTCACAAAAGTTTGATAATTAATGGACAATGTATGAATTGCCAAGAATACTGTACTGGGAGAACCTGTGAGGATAACAGTTGAAGGACATATTTTTGAAAAACTGAAAACATGCCACCACTGATTTGGCCTTCACAAAAAATTTATGAATTTTTTATACAATTCTTTATGGCAATTCAATTACTGTCAAATGAAAAACAGGTTTATTTATCACTCCATGTGTTCAGGGACAAACAAATATGAACCGCTGATGAGGTGTACTCAGAAAATATTTCAGCATAATAATTTGACAAAGACGGGTTATAAGAATAGCAGATTTACATAGACTATTAAATGATTGAAAAAACCGAGGAAGTTAAAATGTTCTGAGCAGCTGTATTTTCCACATAGAAAATAAAATGAAATTGTATGTCATATATGTGAAAGTCTAAAGATTGGCAAGAAAATAATATGACTAAGGTTCAATTGGTACAGTCTTTTCTACGGCCAAGCCTTCTAAGAACCAATGAAGATCTGCCACTACCTGCGTGTCTGATCTTTGAATTCCTCGGCTGCTCTTGTGAATGCATCCAAGCACAACAATTATACCAATAGTCGCTGCATTCAGTCCAAAACCTAAAACCGTTGGTGTTATTAAGGAAAAGAAATTTATATTAAAAAAATCATATGTTTTTAATCCATTCAGAAACTGAAACCAAATTCAGAAAACGAGGATATATATCTTCGAAACACGCTGAGAAGCCCTTTCCATCCCATACCTGTTAACCAGAAGAAGGGAAAAGCCGTTCATCAACAGAGATGTTTGAAACTTATGGTCTTTAATGAATAATCAAATCTCTCTTTCTTCTCGATTATTTAAAAAAAAAAAAAAACTACCCTAATCACTCTGCCACCAAAGGGAAGGTTAATTTCAACTCAAAGGACAAACAGAAACAGAGTCATAAGGATATGTTTCTTCTATCACTCCATTTCATAGTACAGAGTAAACGTAATTTGAGAGTCTTCATGTATTAGTTTATCAGACTTAGTCGATTGGGTGGAAAATGAGTACATGTAGAACACGATATACTCATGCAGAAGAAAATTACAATGTAGAGTTTTTGAAGTGTCAAATACCACATAATTCACTTAAACTCATACAAAGACGAAAAATTCTTTGTTAGTTTAATTTGTCAGAAATGCTGGCTTAAAACCAAATAAACATGCTCAAACATGTTCTTCTGGACGAAGTTCAAAAGCTTCGTTTTTAATTCTATCTGTTTTGTTGAAGAAATTGCTTTGAGCATTCTTAGCCGCCAGAGAGTAAGGCGAAAGAAAACAAGAAATTTATGTCGAAGAAAAGCCCAACAGAATTATATCTGTACGAAAACGAACTGAAAAGACGAGAACTGCATACGGATGGAGAATTAGGGCAAATTAGCGCCAAAAACTTGTCCATTGATAGAACAGCTTCGCTTGGAGGAAGAACTGCGAGGTGGGTTTTCTTTCCAAGGAGAGAAGTTTTAAACTTTGGTCTTTGTTAGAAGTCGTGAGTACTGAGTAGCCCGGTGTGAGCGTACCATAATGTCGTTCTCATGCAAATGTCAAAAGGAAGATTGTCGTTGGCCTCAAAAAAAAAAAAAAAAAAAACCCTTGGCTTCATATTAATTATTTGGTTATTATGACTTATGGCTTTTCTGGCAAAAAAACAAAAGACTTATGGCTTTGCTGGTTTCAGATGATCGATTCACTGTTCTTTTTTTTTTTTTTTTTTACTTTGATATTAGCTGAAACTCATCGAATCGGAATTGTTTAAAACTTATCTAAACAATCTATATTTAAATCTGCATCCAGTTGATAAGCCTGAAAAACAAAGTCATATAAAATCTAAAATAAAAAAATCTCTAAATATTTTTTTAAAAAAAATTAAAAAATAATTAACTAAAAATTTAAAATCTAAACCGTTCAAATTATATTAGAACGGTCGAGATTTGATAAACTTGTGATACTTATCAAAGTTATGAGCATCCAAAATGGTTCTTTCTTTTTGCTGGTCCAACATAGAACAATTCTCAATCACAAATTAATATTTTTAGATGTAAATTATTTTTACAATAGTAAATTTTAAAATTAATTTGGCTTGGTATTTTTACATGTAATTCTTTTTTACAATAGTAATTTTTCAGTCAGAACTAAAATTCATTTAGATATATTTCTTTGATTAAATGTACATATACTAATTCTCTAATTAAGTTTTACCACTAATATGAATAACATATTATATTCGATCCTTGTTATAAAACCTAGTTAATTAATTTGAAGAGATTAAAAAAATTAGTTAAGTTTATTATTTGTAGTAAATAGGTGTTATCTTTTCTAAAATGTTCTTATTAATCATATGTGTTTGAATCACCTATTAATAGTAACTCTTTAATATGTACAACTACTATAGAAATTACTTGACAATAAATAGATAAATATTAAGATAAATATTAAAGACAAAATAGATTGAGATCTTATATTTAAAATCAAACTGAATATCAAACTAGCTCATATATTAAGGACAAGAGGTAGTATTCTAGAAAAAATTAACCTGGAATTCTTTATAATTTACTTTAATTTTAAATTAGATTTTAATTATTTTGTTTAAATTAGGTTAATACATTTGAACTGTTATAATCATTCATCTCTGAATAGAATACCCATTACACTGCAAAACTACAAAATAGGTCGGAGGAGCATATAGAATTTCGTGTTGCCCCATTGCTCAGTTGTAAATAATATTGGAAACTTACTTGCAAATTTTAATAATTCAATTATAAACTCAAAATGAGAAGCTTAGTTGTAAATTATAATTTTTTTTGTAAATCTTGAAAATGTAACTACTCTATAAATTTCAGAAACTCAAACTCAGTCGTAAGAATTGGAAATTCAATCGGTTACAGTAACTATTAAATGTTTTTTTTTAAATGCTTTAATTAGGTCATCAGTCATTTCAACGAGGTTTTCATAAGTTGTTTTCAGACTTATATTTTTTAGGTTTACAAAAATCTTATATTTCACTGGCCTTAATACTACTTCTGATCCTAATTATAAGAGCTAGTTGATTGATTTGAGGAAATTAAGGAAAGAAGTTAAGTTAGTTATTTGTAATAAATAAATGTTGTCTTTCCTAAAATATCCCTGCTAATCAAGTGTATTAGCTAGAATTATTATTGTTAAAAGGATTATGTTGAGAAAAAATGCATAGATATAAAAGACAAAATGGATTGGAATCTTATATTTAGAACCAAAATAAAAGTCAAACGAGATCTTATATTAAGGACCGGAGGTAGTATAAGATTTACTTAACTTGTTTAAATAAATTATAAAAACAAAATAAATTACTTAATTCTAATAGATTTGACATAATCTCTATAAAATATTCCTATATAGTATTACATAATCAATTTCAAGTTAGATAATTAACTTTAAAAATAATAATAAATGTGATAAATAAGATGGATTAAGGTCTTACTTTAGGACCTAAACTAACTCCATTACTAACTATTACAGTTAGGATCAAAGGAGTAATACACCTATTTAAAATTAACCTTTCAATTTGTACAGTAAGCTTTCAGTTTCCATGAGTGTTTTGCAGTCAATCTTCAAATTTTTAGAATTTACAACTAAGAATGTGTTAACCAAGTAAAGGCATTTTCGTCCATTTATTTCTTTCTTTGATAAATTCGCAGTCGGATAATGCCATTCTTTAATTTCATGATCCTTCTGTGTCATTCCCATTTTCCCCTCCCTCTTTTTGCTACTGTGGAATTGTGTCAGTTCATTCTCAATTCTTTTTGTGGGAAAAAAATGTTAGTGACTCTTGATATATAAATGTTCCAAATATTTAAACTTTTTGTTAAATTTTAAACTTTATTATTCACTTTTTATTTATTAATAATCCTTTAGAGTTTAGAACATAAAAGCTTATTTCTTTATTTTTGCTTGTAAACTTTTGGTGTGTGTGGATTGTGAGAAAAATCTCTAGACCTTTCTTTAACGACCAAAAGGACCATTTCATTTCAAGCGGCTAATTTTTCAAAACGAGTGCTTTAAAAGGCACTTCAAAGCCAAGTGGGGGTGAGCTTTATGCAGGATAAAAATAAAAGCAACTGAAAAAGTTGGAATCTCCACTCTCAGATCAGATGCATGCTTCAATGTAGCAGCAAGATAAAAGAGCAAAGCTCCATGAATATTCCTATTCAAAGCTCATTTTTTTAACTTTAATGTAAAGCTTTTTGGCTTTGAGATTTTAGTGCTCTTACGCATGCCATCCAAGTCACAGTTCCACTTACAAAAGAGAATGTAGATCTATATATAGATCATATCTTCTCAAAAGAATATCTTCAGAGTCTAATTGAGAGGACCATTCAGATCTAGAGATAATGGCAACCAACTCTGCATAACTCTTGAAAGAAATAATCTGATCACTGAGCACAAAGATTTTATGCATGAAGTTGCTTAATTTCGAAGTTCCTGAAGTAGAAACTGATAGACATTTTGAACTCTAAGAAACCCATAAGCCATTTCTTAACTTCCTAACTTTCAACTTGAAAGCACAACCAAAAAAAAAAACCATTTTTGTGTTCAGAGGTTGAACAAAAGTGATGGCGTTGCGGGCCGGCTACACTGAGCAGCAAAGCTTTGTATCAATGGAAGCTAAGCATATGCAGAATGCTTGGTAACCTGTCAAGGGATATCTGCAAAGTTGATGGAGAAATATGAATTCAGGTTTGGTGCAAAACCAAGCATATGCAGAAATATGAATTCAGCTTATTATTGTATTTCTTTCTAGTTGCACAAATTGCACAATTAGAAAGTTTTGCCAAATAGACTTATGGGATTGGGCAAAACCACCTAAAGCGGGTGGCAGTCCAAAGCTATCTCTATACTCACAGACACATCCCACTGATGTGGGTTAATTATGAAAGATCCAACTCAAATACTAAATTAATGTCAATGAAAAAGGTAACAATTACATAGAACAGACTGGTTGTTTCTTTGTAAGCAGAAGATGAACAGCATAAGTCTAGGCCCAACATGCTTAAAGAAACTTTAAGCCGAAAGGCTTTATTCAAATCCCCAAATTGAAGCCTAATTTTCAAGCCAGAAAGCTCTGATAGGCAACATCAAATTGAAAGTGATTAGTTTATACCTGTAATCCAAAACAAACTTTGATTTTGCCACCCTGCCTAACTGCAGAATTGTTTGCTTCCCATTCTCCTGGCCACGTCATGGACAAAGTCAACTAAAACTTCTTTAATCTCAGTTACAGGCTAAACAGCAACTTAGTTTTGGTTATATTTTATGAAGGGCTCCATCCTTAATAATTCATTTTGAATCACAAATTTTTACAAGGGAGAAACTGAGAATACATATGACTGATGAGAAAATTTAACAACGTCAAGTGTCTATTTATAATTTACATGCAGATGTTGAAATTAACTCAATGAGATTGTTTTGCATAGAAAAATGGCAGGAAGTGAAATGACCAGTTAATGCTAACTCATGTTCTTTACTCCTATGAGGTTATTTAAACATGGTCAACCATGGGGTTAAAAAATGTGCATCTGCACTAACATGCCGTTCACCTTCCGTCATTTTCTCTTTTTAGTTTTAAGGGGAAAAAAAAAATCTTATTTTTTAGATTTCTAAGACCTGCACGCCGTACAGATGGGTAGGTAGATGGGTGGGTCAAAAAATCAGGTTCAATCACTTTGAACTCTCAATTGAACTACAGTCTCCTGTGGTTAGGACTTCTGTTATACCTCCAAAGTGAGCTGGAAATTTTTAACTGATGCCTGGATCTGAAGTCCTGGTCTTCCTTTATCTCTGAAGTCCAGTTCAAACTGCTTTGAAATCTAAGTAAACCAACAGGAACTGGTCAAGTTCAAATGTCTTACTGCTACATGACTAAGTAAAATGTCCTTTTAGCCTCATACCTTGTTGTAAATTGGCACTCTTGAGTATAGTTGATGCACTTTGTCCAGCTTTTCCTCCCAATCTGTTGGCAGTCCTTTGATATGTTGTACCTGTAATACAACCAAATTGGACTTGAAGAATGCCATTATATTGGACTGGACAATGGAAATAGAATATAGGTGATATTGTCTTTAAGGTTTTCTGTTGCAATAGAAAATTATTAGTGCATCAAAGTGATGATGGGAAGGACCTCAAACTAATACAGAAACTTTTAAGCTAACCTGACTTGTGTTCTTCAGTGACATAGATTGATGTTTGGGTACATATGCCCTCATGCCTCTGTAACTTCCTGTACATGTTGCTATAGTTGGGATGAATCTGCAAAAGAAGACAATAAATTCTCGGATCAGCAGAGAATAATGACCCCCTCAAAGTGGTTGCTGTAGATGAAGATATGGACTTACGCCACAACAGCAAGAGGTGGTTTTGGCTGTTTACCCCAGCAATCATGACGATATCCCTACAAGCAACAAGTTCACAAGTAAGATTATGGGCCTCTTTAGAATGGCTTGTAAGTAGTTTTTCAATCATAATTTATATAATATGAGATAAGCATGTGAGAAGAATTGTCTCAGCATATATGAGACGTGCTTATAAGTGCTTCAAATCGTGTTTCCAAATGAGGTCTATATAAGATGTCAGGAAGCATCTAAGATGTATGTATTCAATACCCTATTATTCAAAAGACATTTAGTGTCATCTAAAATGCTTGAAGACAGTGAATGATAACACAAAAATTTGTAATACAAGTTTCAGAAGCCAAAATGATATCTTATACTAAATATATCATGGAATCAAAGATAAAACCAGATGGCTTCTAAATGTATTTTATCCTGTACTGCAATTTTCAAAGAAAGAGGGCATTAGACTGAACCTGATCCCATATGTGGTATTTTGAACCCATGAAGTTGGCTATCACTGTTCCAAGAAAACTATCATCTGAACTGGACAAAAGTCCTTTTACATTCTGAGCTATGGTGAATTGAGACCTCCCATTTCGCCTCTTATGGTAAGCCACAGCCAGTTTCCTATTCTGCCGTCCTTTGCCTTCCTAGAATGTTAACATGCCCTGAAGTCAAGGTTTAAGGTATATATGCAAGGAACTAAAGGTAAGAATATTAACACTCGATGTATTATGAGTTTATGACTTCATTGCAAAGCACTCATAACAGTCTTGACACTGCTGACTGAAATGTAGGCAACAATCATGATGCGACATGTCCCAAGTTTAAGGATACTAAGATCAGCCACTGCACCAAGTGCCAACACTCTCATCTAATAAGTTTTTCTGTCTTTCGCGTTTGACCGTGCATGTTAGATTATATGAATGACAGCCCATCATAATTCTTAACTGTCTGATAATTACAGATATCTTACATAGGTATAAAGAGAAAACAATGTGCCTCCAGATAGTCCTTCTGGCGATGCTTCCTTCACAATAACACATGTACATCTTCCAACATCAGCGGGCAATGGTCTACAGACCAAAGACCTGGACATAAATTCGTCAAAGAGGGATCAACTTCTAAGTAAAATTGAGATTCTCAGAGGATTAGAAATTCATCAAAACTGAAAAACGAAAGTTCAGAAAACCGACATATACGAGCCTAAAGTTGGATTTTTTTTCCAGGAAAGTTTTTACTCACTTATTTGGCAGAGTTGACCACGATGAAGCTGGAGCTGCCTCAGAATCGGAAAAGTCCCAAGCATTCAGAGAGCTCGAATTCTCCAAATCAAAACGATCCCATATCTTAGACCCAAAAGCTTTTTCAGAATCATTCATTTGCATGCAGAACTGAAGCGAAGTAGGCTTCAAGATCCTATCAGTGGACAGAGACCTAGAATTCGAGAACTTTTTGGGCACTGCGTTTTCCTTGTCATCACCAGAAGAAGCTACAGTTTCTTTCTTGTTAGGCGTCGCATTCTCTTTGTTATCCGTCAAGATTCTCGTGCTTCGGTGAGCGAAATCTTCAAAGTCGTCACCTTTGTTAGCTAAACGGCCATAGTCGTGGCTACAGCTACGGCCATGCCTGAGCTCAGTGAGGGGATTGACATAGAGAGAATTGTATGACTGGCCCGGTGTGGAGGATTTTTTGCAACCATCCATCATCTGGGTGCCAAAGAAATGATTCAAATGATCAAACTTTATGGGATTTAGTTGGAAAAGCTTCAGTATCTGAGAAGAGTTGACATTGCAGGGATTCAAACTTCTGAAGTTGAGTCAGGGTGCATAGATTCATTCAATGAAGGCTTAAACGTTTCTGGGATTTGGTGATATGGGAGATTTGCCTCACCTGACAGAAAAATACGAGAAAGGAGAATGATCATAATCTTCCATGAACTGGAATAGCAGTTGAGTTTTGTCTTTGTGGGGAAAGAACCAGGTGTTGATAAAGCATTTAATAACGGCTACGCATCATTGGATATATAATTATATATATATAGAGAGAGAGAGTGATAGACAGATACAGATGATGGGTAGGTGGGTCCCTCTGAAGTTTGAATATCAAGGGCGAAGGATCATGGAATATTGTGTGGAGTGGGTGATGATGAACGGAAGTTTAAATTTGGAAAAGCTTTGGGAAACGAACTGGGATTGGACAGTGGTGATGGAAATTTGCATCCTTGTATTTGATTTTAGTGGAACTAACGGTAACTATTCAGCATGTTACCAGGAAATTGCCACAAAGTTTTCAAACCTTTGTCTTTTTCTGGAAGTTTGAGCGGCAAACACTTCTGAATCCCCCCGCACAGCCCGTCTCTCAATAGGAACCGTCAGATGGATCCATTGGTCTAAGACGCGCCACCCAAAAAAATGTTGCAATTTAGTAGGGACTTGTCCGTATCCAAGTCATTCTCCATGTAATCCCACACGAGCAGAAAGTCCTAGTCAGCTCACTGGTCAGCAGGCTCATCGTCAGCCAACATGTCAAAGACCACTCCACGTCATCGTCCTCATTATTGGCCATGTCATCGAAGAATCCCAATCATCTCACATGCTAGCATCCTCATTATCACCCAAATAAACAGCCACGTCATCTTTTTATGTCATCTTAATCTTTTAGTCAGTGTATTATAATCCATTTCATCAAACACGCCAACTAAATGCCTAATTTTCACTTTTAAAAAAAAAAACAAAAGAAAAAACCAGATAGGGCATATACTATGTGTGTGACTTTGGTCATTCTACACACGCATGGTATATCAAATATTCAAACCAAGGAAAAAAAAAAACCGGACCGGACCGGCCGGTTCAACCGGAAAACCGGTGAACCGGCCTCCAATCCGGTCTGGTCTGGAAAAAAACCGTTGCTGATGTGAACCGGTGGTGAACCCGTCCAACCGGTAAAAACCGGTGTTAAACCGGGTAAAAACTGGTTGGGTGGTTCACCCGGTTTTATTTTTTTTGCTACCCAGCCAGGAAAAACGATGCCTTATAGTTTTAAAAAAAAACGAAAAACTCTCTCTCCCTCACATTCAACTAGCCGTCTCATGCTTGCAGCTCGCCTCATCAATCCTCTTCCCCCATTTTTGAAAATCCAAATCCTCTTCCCCCGAAATCACCGAGATTCCTTCCTCTTTCTCCCCGACTCCAGCCGTTCCCCCACCATAATCCATAGCATCGCTAACGGCAGGCCTCATAGTTCGGCCGTTCACTAACAGTGGCACTCCCTCCTCCGTTCGCCGCTCGTATTGCAAGTGCCACCTAGTCGACGAAAGTCCTAGTGGCACCCTGCTTCGCCTTCACCGTTCAGTGTTCAGTGATGTGGTGCTTGGCCTTCACAGCTCACATCGCAAGTCCTGAGTCTCCATCCTCTCCTCGCTGACATCCTGCTTCGCCCTCGCCACTCATGAACGTCTTGCTTCTCGTTCAGTTCAGGGCTTCAGGCATTGAGTTGTGGCCTTGTGGCATTGAGTTCAGGGCTTCAGGCATTTTACTAATTTTGTTTATGCTGATGATTCCTTCACATTATGCTGTTGATTTGATTCCTTCAAATTAATTTTGTAAAGAAGAGAAGGTTTATGCTGTTGTGGATCTTCACTTCACATATAGAATTTGTTTCCTTTTATTTAGTTGTGGTGATGGATATTCTGATTCCAAATTATATATTATGGAACTGATTTAATTTTAAAGTCTAACTGATTTTGTGGTTGCAAGTTATCTTTATAAATTTTGTTCCACTTTAATGTTGTGAATTAAATTTGATTATTTTAATATTACCGGTTCAACCCGGTCCGACCACGGTTCGACCAATAACCCTTGACCCATTGTCTTGACCGGTTTAGTTCCCAGTTCGGTTTTTTGTTCCTTGATTCAAACATAACACATCGAGCATGTGTGTGTTAAATAAACTCCGTTAACAATTGCGTACCTGTATATATTAATTATGGATGCTAAATTATTTTTGCAATATACTACCTCCGATCCTAATTATAAGACCCAATTGATTATTTTGAGAAAATTAAGGAAAGAAATTAAGTTAGTTATTTGTAATAAATAGATGTTATCTTTTTTAAAATATACTTACTAATCAACTATATTGGTTAGAACTATAATTATTAAAAAGATTACCTTGAGGAAAAAAATACATAAATACTACCTCCGGTCCTTAATATAAAACCCTGTTTGACTTTTATTTTGGTCCTAAATATAATACCTCAATCCACTTTGTCTCTCATATTTATGTATTTTTTTTCAAGATAGTCCTTCTAATAATTGTAGTTCTAGCCAATATAGTTGATTAGTAAGGATATTTTAGAAAAAGTAATACATATTTATTACAAATAACTAATTTAACTTCTTTCCTTAATCTCCTCAAATTAGTCAACTGGGTCTTATAATTAGGACCAGAGGTAGTATGAGAAACAAAGTGGATTGGAGTCTTATATTTAGGACCAAAATAAAAGTCAAATAGGGTTTTATATTAACCACCGGAGGTAGTAATACATATATATTGTATATTTAAATGTTAGACAGAAAGTCAAATTGAAAAAATTAGTAAGTCTCAATTTATAATTCCAACATAATATGCCATAATACCATAATAACTTCAATTATCAATATGATATGCCATAATATATGAAGTTTTCAATTAAATAACTTCATATGCTGCCATGGTTAAATCTTTTTTTTTTCAACCTTTTTTTTTTTGTCATGTCCAAAACATATAGATCCCGTTTGATACGAAACATTGAAAATAAAAATAAAGATTGCAATTGAGATTGAAAAATATATTAAAAAAGTGTTTGGTATAAAAGATTACTTATTACATGCAATTGGACAAACCCATATACTTAGAATTAAAGAATACCTATAGGGAGAGATGGCGTTCTCTAATCTCACTTCTCACTTCTATGAGTTTATCGAATCCCATATAACAACCAATTACTCATACTAGATACTCTTTTAATAGTTTTTTTTTAATCTCAATCCCAATTTTTACCTCTCCTTCTCAATCATTCGTAACATAAAACATGGAGTTTCCTCAAAGTCATTCTAGGTTCCAATCTGATTCTGGGCTTCGGCTCAATAACAGCTCAACCATGAAAATGGTTTTCCAATCTAAGCCAAGCTACTAGGAAGTCTGGTGAACAATTCAACTAACTGAATTCTTCCGGTCTGGTTCTTTAATCACTGCCGCCGCCACCTTTACCTTGGCTTTTCTGGTCACCCAGGGAAGATTTCGGAGCTGCCATTTTGTTCTTTGGACTGTCTTGGCCTGATTCTGGGTTTGGCTTAACAGGCTTACCGAGATTATCTTTCTCCACAGCTTTATCTGGTGGTAAAGCAATGTTTTTGTCGCTTTCTGTAGAAGAAGATTTGGCATGCTTTTTCTCACCGTCTTTCACATGATTTTGAGGGAGGTTGCTGCTTGATTGTTTATTTGTTTCAGCCACAATCTCCTTCACTGCTTCCTCAAGTTTGTCAAGTCTGATTTTCACCTCCTGAAGCGGTGGATCAGGGGGTTTTAACTTCTCTAATTCTTCTCTTTCTTTTGCTTCCTTTTCATCCCTTAGCTTCCTTTTCTGCTCCACTTCCTAAGCAATGATTCGGAGGATAATCCATTGTTAAAAGAGAAGCCTAACAAAATAATTACATGAATTGTTGTGCCTCTGATCGTTTTCTAGGTATAATGACACAGTCAATGTGACAAAAAATTGGGTCATGCTTTACTACTTAGTTCAAAACCAAGACCTAACTCAGATTAGTGCGGATAACTAACAAGGAAGAGATCAAACAAACAATAACTGATACAAATTTAAGATCCGTATATCATCACATATGTAACATGCTGAATATGCATTGCTTATACAGTGGAACCACAAGCAACTGCATCACAATTCTATCTCAAGTCTTGTAATCTGATCTATGTCCATTTTCATCCGGGTTCCCATATAATGTATTGTAATCCCTGGAATGGTAAACGCGAAGGGCATTAAGATGATGGATATCTATCACTATTTTACCAATGGATATTCACATTAATTATATGATGTTCAGAACTTCATGTCAATTTTATATTGATAAAAAGGAAAGAATACATACCGCCTCCATTATCTTCATATCATAACGTGCATATTGAGCCACCAAATATACAGCTGTTGCAAGAAAGTACTTGTTTCAGACGGTATCACTAGAAGTTAGAAAAATATCTAATGAATGTGAATATAAGTGAAATGTATCAGTTTCAAACCTAAAGAAGGCAAGCAGGCAAAGAAAAGTTGCACAAGATGGAAATCAAGCCTGACCACGAAAGAGAACAATAATGTGAGAATAAATTCGATTATTATACACAGGCAGATGTTGATGGGGTAGCAAGCAGTAGCCATGTAATTTCTAATAATTTATGATTGTTGATAAACATTTTATCCTGAGAGCTCAAAATAATAATTGAAACCCCATAATGATTTCAGCATAAGATCTAATATGTTTGCTCATTTAAAAGCTCATCAACTTCATTTTGATAAGAAGAATGAAAGTTGTCAAGGATTGGTCTCCTCCTTAATTAATCACAGAATCTGATACACGCCAAGCAACGTTTCAACTCAAGGTCAATCTAAGTAAAGAACCAAACATAGTTTTTTCCCCGTTTTATTTCAATATAATTTAACAAACAAGAAGAAAACCAAGCATTCAGAAGAATAAAACCAATGCACACAATGTGGATACCTTTGAACCTACACAATGAGATCTGACCAATGATCATCATCAGTGGCAAATAGAAAATTTCCCATTCAGACACCAAACAGATTTTTCGGTGTACTCGGTTGAGCAGCCTGAGTCTTGAACGTGCTAACAAAGATATAGATGCACGTAGAGGTATTGCGATGGAGACGGTGAGGGATTGTAAGTAAATTTCAGTTCCAATTTCCAGGTAAGATCCGAAGCAACACTTACATGAAGCTGTTCTATGAAATGCCAAAGACAGCAGAGTTGAAAGAACAAACAAACCGAATCCAGAGACAGAAACTAGCCATGATACTCACATACAAAAAGACACAGGATAACTCAAAAAAACGAATGCTCTACCACATATAAAGAAAGTTACGGATTAATAGTTAGTTCCGATTTCCAAAGAAGCACAAGAATCGGCATTGAAATGAAGCTACTCAGCAAAATGCCAGAGAAACCAAAGCCAGGAACAAAAAAAAAGTCCCAAACGAACCACAACTCAGTGACCTAGAACCTTGCCGTGAGAGTCAAATACGAAAGCAATCAAATGAGACTGAAAAAAACGAACTTGGAAATAAATGCAATACCCAAATTTCTTTTTCT